ATTTATTAAATACTTTGCATGTTATTAAAGTTCTTTTAAAAAATATTTTTATTGACTTCAGAGCAATAAAGATTTAATTTTAAAAAAAGAAACATCAATGATGAGAGCGAATCATTGATTGGCTGCCTCCTGCACGCCCCCTTCTGGGGATTGAGCCTGTAACCTGAGCATATGCCCTGACCGGAATCAAACTGGGGACCCTTCAGTCTGCAGGCCGTCGCTCTACCCACTGAGCCAAACCAGCGAGGGCTGCAGCACTGTTTTGTAATTCCTCTGAGCCAGCCTTTTGTCATCAGCGACCTCGGATGTGTGTAAAGTGGGCAGTGTTTAGAGTCCGCAGAGACTGCACGGAGGCCTGGACTGTCTCCTGCACAAACAGCTCTACGACTGGGCAGAACGTACCAGCGACTGTTTATGACACTGGGTAAGCCGCGGTGCGAGGCTGTGGTCCCCACAGTCACCTGCTTCTTTTCGTGGGGACATTTCCCTGATCGTGATGTGAGGAGCTGGGGTCTTGGCAGAGCCCGGCTGTTCCGGCTGAGGAGGCAGAGATGTGAGGTCGGGGGCCAAGTGGCTTGAACCGGCAGAGTGAGGCCCGGGAGGGGGACCTGCAGGGCAGGGGTGTGGAGAAGCAGGGCTGTGCACAGACAGAACCGGGCAGGTTAGGGGAGGGCAGCTGGCAGCTGGCGGAGCCGGGGGGAGAGGTCTCATGAACATCCCACTACCCCCTGGGAAGCCTGCAGGGCTCACCTTAGGAGTGAGGCCACGTCCTCGGGGAGGGTCCACCTGCTCTCAGTGAGCCAATTCTAACCGACAGAACCCCCAGGGAGACGGAGTCTGGACTAACGAGGGGTAAAGGCGAGTCTGCCCAAGTTTGCGAGGCCAGCGACCGAGCAGCCTGCTGAAGCAAGAATGTCCACCCTCAGAGAGAGACAGCAGAGCCCAGCGTCTCTGCCATGCGCCACACACGCTGCCCAGGAGGAATAAGATGCCTGGAGATGCAAAGATATAGGACAGTGGGACCACAGGGAAAGCAGTTGGCTCAGAGACCGGCCGTACAGAGCGAGGCGTGGGCCGCGTCAGGCGTGGACGGCAACTCTGACCTTGGAAACTCGAGGATTCGTGTTGATGGCTGAGAGCAGCTGTCACAGAACAACCGCAGAGAAGGGGTTATGAATGTGTAGGACCTGCATGCTGGGAACTGCTGATGGAGCAACGGAGTGGGCCCGAATGAGCCGAGCGCCTGCCAAGCTCGGGCGCCCCGAGCCCCGTCTCCTCACGTGGGTCTAGGGATATGCGCGGCCTGTTGGAGTTGGAGCCGCTGCAGCTTTTCACACGTACTGACTGGAAAGCTGATGCTAAAACGTGTGTAGGAAGCGAAGGACCTGGAATGGCACAGACGGGGTTAGGGAAGAAGGCAGTTGGAGGACTCACTCTACTTCAAGCGTGCCAGCCGGCTGCCGGCGCCGCTCGCCTGTGTGAGACCTGCTCACACGTGCAAGATGGTAGAGCCGTGCCATCACGGTGGCACCCGTGGGGGTAGGGCAGAGCACAGGGGAGGGAGCAGCGGGCTCCGGACCAGGGTCGGGGTTTTGATTAAAGTGCCAAACACTTCAGTGGGGGGGAGACTCTTCACGGGGCACTGGCCGCTCAGGTGCCTGTGTGCAAAGAAGACTCAGGCTCACACACTGGCGAACATCAGCTCAGAATGGACCCTAAACCTAAACATGCCGCGAAGCGATAACGCTTTCCAGGAGGCAGCAGAGAAGCACATCCCTGTGGCCGGGGCACCGAGGCCGCTGCATGTCCCGCATCTGACTCTGAAGCATCTCCTCGGCTACATGAGAACATGCATGCACACGCAGTCCTGCACACGCATGTTTATAGCTCAGCCCTCCGACAGGAGAGCGAGGGGAGTGAACCGGTGGGGGGTTGGGTGCCCTCGGAGCACTGCCCCCGAAGGAGGTCGCTGCCGCAGCCGGAAACACTGGCAGGTGATTGGTGGCCTCATTGCAACCAGTTTTCCTCCACTTTGTGGAGACAGGTTGGGCTCGGCTGCCTCTGCCTCCGTGGAACCACGTCGGACTCGAACGGCCTGGTGCTCAGGTAGCCGAGCAGGGGTCCTGCACTCCTCCTGGGACACTCTGCTCCCCCAGGGAGGGGGCACCCCACCCAGGGCTGGCCCACCCAGCGAGGGACACCTCTGTTGGCAGGGAACCAGAGCCTTTCTGCAACAGCGATGGGGAGGTGGGCCCCGGGTCCTGGAAAATGGCCGCGATGAGGCCACGACAGGCCCACGTCTGCTGCTGCTCACACAGGGCTCCGGCTCCCGCCTGGCAATGCTGGAGCTGGAAAACTCCGGGCCAAGCGGGATCTGAGAGGGACACTCACACCCCAGGCTTCTGCCAGTCTCAGCTCCTGGCCCTCCTGGCCGCCGCTGCACAGTGGACATTCACTGTGCGACCTAACCCGCGCCTTGCCCCCCAGAAGCCAGCGACGCGAACCTGCGACAGCAGGGCCTGAAACACGCCCAGGTCAGAGCGGGGCGGCGGAATGGTGGGGTGACTCCATGCGCAGGGATGTGAGGATGGCCGCCTCCTCCAAGATGCCTGCACGGACAGCGGGGCCGCCCTGCTCCTGGCCACTCACTCGCCCAGGGCCCTCCACTCCCGGAGCTGTGCCTGTGCTGGCCTGGGGCCGCCCTGTGCCCCCTCAGCTCCGCTCAGCCTGTGGCCACCCGGCCTGGGCCAACTGGGAAAATGCCCCCTGTACTCTCCACTTCCAAGCTGATCAGATATCTTTATCACCAGCCCATTTCTAACCATGACCTGTTTACAAGTGCCCAGGGGGGACTCCCAGAGGCGGTGCTGGGAGGCCCCGTGTGGGAAGGGACCGGTGATTGGCCGACACCTCTGAACATGGTGAACGAGAGGAGACACCGGGACGCAGGCACCCAGCTGCTCTCTGGCCAGATGTCACTTTGAGAACAGCGGGAGTTTGCCCAGGCTGTCACGTGGCCACCGGCCGGAGCAGGGCTGTAACCCGGGAAGCGCCTGGGATGGCGACGGCCGCACAGGAAGGAGGAAGGCGGCAGGCCAAGGCCATGCCCTGCAAGGACGCTCGTTCGAGTGCAGGGAGCAGAAAGCTGTGGGTGCCAGGAGCCCCGGGAGCTGGCAGCCTTAACGGGACGAGCGTCTCTGCTAAGTGCCCGGCAGCGAGCAGTGGAGGCCTTTAGAGAGAGGCGCTGGGAAGCGCACGGGTCTTTGGCAAATTGGGTGCAGAAGCAAGGCTGCCATTGTGGGTGCTCAGCAGACCGTCGCCCAGTGGCCGAGGGGCCGGGACACGCCACGGCCAGAATTGAACCATGACCTCCTGGTTCATGGGTTGTTGCAGAACCACTGAGCCACAACAGCTGGGCAGATAGATGCCATCTTTTGGCAATTTGCGATCCACTCCCTAGTTACCACCACAAGTATCTCTAACTTCATCTATCTTTAACTCTTTGGGCTTATTTTGACTCATAGCATTGAATATTTTTGTGTCCCCTACACCATACCTTGCCATTCCTGGCCCTTTGCGGTGCGCTTCAGGTGTCTGTTCCGTGGGGCCAGCCGAGCGGCCACCGAGCCGGAGGAGGACGCTTTACGGCTGTGCTCCCTCTGCTCGTGTTCTGACAATGGTGAACTCAGACAGCTCCTGGCCGAGCCCTGCAGGTCTGCTCAGAGGCATCTCCTGGGTGGGCAGCGAGTTGCTGACCCAAGCCTGTCGCATCACACCTTTGAAGGCAGGTAGCATAGCTGCTGCCCCCTCAGTGCCAAGGCAGTCTGGGAGAGGCCCCTGGGCACAGCCGGTCAAAGACAGGAACTTCAGGAAGAAAATGGAACCTCAGAGAAGGGAAAGGTGATTCCCACGGGAACCTGTGCCCACGGCGCCGGTTGCCTCTAGCGCAGGGAGGGCGAGCAGGGCAGCCCTGCTGTGGGTCTTCCCCACTAGGTGTGGCTACTTGAGGAAGGGGCCTCTCCACACGGCTCCTCAGCAGAGGTGAGGGGGACCCATGAGGTCACAGTCCAGGGATCGAGGTGCAGACAGATGACAGCGCCTGCGCCCATTGTTGCCCCACTGCCGAGTCCCACTTCAGGTGCATCAGCACCGTCTGGTTGGCAGGTATGGCTGGTGTGTGAGATGATGCCCGACAGGGACAGTGCTGCTCTGGCCCCTCCTCCCACCCTCCCGGCCCCTCCATCCCTTGGCCTCCCTGTCTCACCCTGCACCGCCACGGCTACCCATGGCCTAGAGCCACGATGCCATTCAAAGTGGCACTTCAGCCTGGACTCCTCCATGGATGCCTTCTCCTGGAAGTCCTGCCTGACCAGTCTTTTGTGGGGGGCTGGATCCCCCCACTCCACCAGGTCCCTCCTCCAAGCGATTGCCAGGGTGGGGTCCCAGCTGGGTTCCCATGGTGCTGTGCTCAGACCCGGGGAGAGCAGCGGGCTGCTCGGCTGCAGGGCGCTTGCCTCCCACAGCCCCCACCTGCCGCCACGCCCAGACTCCGGGTCTGCCCAGCAAAGGCAACATGGTCTCCACCACACCCAGGAGGGCGCCTCTGAGCCTTTCCGTGGCAGGAGCCCTCGGCACCCCATGGCTCCCTCGAGCCTCTGCCTGCTGATCACACAGATGGGGAGACTAAAGCTAGACCAATCAGCTGGCCTCCAAGCACGGGCCGGACAGGACCCACCAGGAGGCACGGGCAGCCTGGGCACCTGCTGAGACCCATGGTCTCTGAGAGCCCCGTGCAGGGGCCTCCGGGTGCCAGCCCAGTGCCCAGGGAATCTGGAGGCCACCAAGGCCCACCAGTGGCCCCCAGGAGGTCAGGATCTGAGGCCCGCCCCCTTGATAGAAGGAGGGGATGAGATAAAGGGCTGAGGCCGGGCAACCCTGGAGTGAAAGGTGCCAAGAAGGGGGGTCAGGCTGCTCCCCTATCCTTTCCCCAGCTTCCTGGGAGCAACTCCCTCTGCCCAGAGGGAACTCCTTTAAGGGTGAAGGAAAGAGATGCCAGTTTTGCCATCCTCTCCCCCTTCCTCTCCCCCATCCTCTCCCCCCTCCTCGGCCGCCTGCGCCGCGGCTCTGCTGGCCCATGGTGAAGAGCATGGGCACAGCCAGCAGGCCCGCGGCGACCCAGATGGCGCTGATGAACTTCTTGGTGCGGCTTCGAGACATGAGGGTCTTGGCCTTGAAGGGGTGGCAGATGGCCAGGTAGCGCTCCAGGCTCAGGCTGGCCACGTTGAGGGCCGTGGCGTAGGTGCAGGCGTCTCGCAGGAAGTAGTAGCCCCTGCAGACGGCATCCCCGAAGGCCCAGGGGTGGTGCACCCAGATGAAGTTGTACAGCTCCACGGGCATGGCCAGCAGCAGGATGAGCAGGTCGGAGAGCGCCAGGCTACCCAGGTGGTAGTGCACAGTGCTCTGCAGGCTCTGCAGCGACTTCTTTCGCGCCAGCGTGAACACCGTCACCGTGTTGCCCACCGTGCCCACCGCGAAGAGCGCCAGGTACACGGCGGTCACCAGCGCCTTGGAGTAGATGTCCGTGTCCACGTCCA